AAAGTGAAGTGGAAGAATTTTTGACTGATGGCATTGGAACTGGGATTGGAAAAATGATCTGTTTCAAATTGAAGGAATCTAAACCTAATATACAATGGTTATATTTTATTTACAACTGCACCACTCTCCAAATTTGAATGTGTTCCTTGGAGATCTCTGGAGTAGTATTCTATAAATATAGGATTGTGATCTCAAAATGTGAGTGGCTCTTCTAAAGCTTCCTTCCAGTGGCATTACTAGGGATGGCAACTTGAGAGCATGACAGCAGCATCTCAGATTACCTGGGACAGTCACGGTCTTCTGACTGCTCCTTCCACCGTACAGCTTGGGTGCCCTGACCCTTGTCTCTCACAAAGTCTTCATCCAGGCCAGCCTGCTTCAGGGAATCTCTGTACCGTTGTTCTGCTTCTTTCCTGGCAAGGTCCTGTGTAATGGAAATTGATCTGCTGTAGCTGTCTTGTGAATTACCAGATAATTCTAAATGACTTGCTTAACTTGTGTACTTACTAGATTCACCTAGAACCTTGTTTTCAAGCCTTAAAATACATAGGACCCACCTGAAGATCTTGTTAAAATGCAAATTCCCATTTAGTGTGTCTCAGATGGGGCCTGCAATTCTGTATTTCTAACACTCCCAGGAGATGCCAACTGTTGATTTGGGAGCTATCCCTTTGAGAAGCAAGGATTTAGATTTTTGGAAGACCAAGTGAGACCTAGATGAAAAAGACTAAACTTTTAAGATTTTAGGATTTATTTTTAATAAGATTTAATTTTAAGATTTAAAAGCAACCAAACCATCATCAGGAACACTAAAAGATAAACAGAAAATAAGCACTATTAGTAACACTCTTAACAATAGATAGATGGTCTGCATGTGAACCAGAACAAGGTTGTTTTTTGTTTAACTACTTAAGAGCGAAATCATATAGAGTACTTTGTATTTTTCCTAGAGTGGTGAAAGATCTGTTGAGATCTGAGAGTGAGCTTGCTTGAAAAAATAAAAAGAGAAAAGGTTATTAAGAGCGGTTTTAAACAATACAAGCTTCTAAGTAAATCCAAGACAGTCCAGTGTGTGTGTGATAAATGTATAGGGGTGGAGAATGAACCCAGGAAATGCCTAGATAATGCACTGGCTATATGGTGGAGAGAATGCCCAGAAGTTGGAATCAGGTCGCTAGGGAACCCCGACTTTTGTCTGAAACTGGAGAGGAGAGAGACCTACAGAGCCCGATGCAGCCCAAAGCTGCTGGGATGGTGGCCTCGGTAAGGCTGTTCAGGTAGCTCCAGAGCCTTAGGGAGAACTCAGCTGAGTTTAACTTCCCTAAAAGTCCAGAGAACATCTTAAAAAGGATTATTCCAGCCCGAAAGCCACTTAATCTGGAAAGGGCCTTGTAGGATGCTTGTGAGTATCCCAAACTCTGGAGACCTATAAATGTGCTACAGCTGTAGTGGTGGGTGGCGGGGTATGTCCAGGGCACGAGCACTGCAGGAGGAGAGATGACATTAGTTAAGTTATTCTTACTAACACATCCAAACTGCCACTATGTGTCTGGGATCTAACCCCTACTCTGATTCAAACTGAAACCTAGACCATAGTGAAAACTCCAGGAAGTGAAATATCCCTTTATAGATGCCTTTGGAGTCCAGTCTTGGATGAAATCAGTCCAAGCAACATTCATCATTGCACTATTTATTTTGGGGAAAGATGGTAGAATTAAAATGAGCCCAAACAGAATCTTTCTGAGCCTCAAGGAAATGTTTAATACTCAGATTTTAAACTGTTTAATCATTCCTAAGAGCCCTTCCATCCAAGACAGAAGGAAAATGAATGATTTAGTTTTACCTTAGTAACTTGTTCGAAGAGATAGGGCCTTGTTTGTATTCTCTTCTTCATCTCCTCCAATTCTTTCTTATACTCTTTTGCTCTTTTACGGTCATTTTTCCTGGAATTAACAAGATTTTTAGAACGAATTCTGTCTTTTTCCAATCTGGAATACCCTTCATTCCAATTGAGCAGAGTAACTCCCCAAGGACATTGTAAATTCTGAACTGTGCCTGGCAAAATCCTTGACTCAGTGCAATTACAGGAGCCTACCCTAAAACCTCCATTTTGCCAGTCCCAAGGCCAATTATCCATTGGATCCCAAGACAGGCACTCCTTTGACACGTGGAGGACACTGACCGATTCTCTTTCAGCTTTGCTTTGAACACCTCCTCCAGGCTTTTATGGGGATCCATGGCTTTTGCACGCAAGCTCACGGATTTAGACATTGCTTGACACTTCTTTTTGTGCATCTCCAACCACTGAGTACTCTCATCTGCTTTGTCCTTTTTTTCAAGTGAACTTCTAAAGAGAGGGGGCAAAAAAAGAATACAGATGACAAACTTGGGTATATTTAAACGCAAGCTTAGTAGCTTTTCTGGAAAGTAAACTGGTGTTTTCCATGAATGGGGTGAGTAATCACCACACTGGTGTTTCAGAAAAAATAAGATTGAGGTTAAATGCATTGGCAGATGAAACCTTCCTAGCACTATAGACACAGTGATTTTTCTGCCCCAGGAGAAGTTAACTAATTGAACATGTGAGTTAAAATATCCTTACACTCAGGATTCTTGCCTGTATGGAAACAAAATAATACTGACAGCTACCATTTGCTGAGTTACCTACCCTGAACCAAGTGCAGACAGGGAGCAATAAATGCTTTATTATCCATTTTTTTTTGTAATCCTTGTAACTACCCTATGAAGTAAGGACCATAAGCCCCCGTTTTTATAGGCAAGGAGATTGAGCCTCAGGGTAAGCTACCTGCTCAAAGCTGCCCAGTATGCCAGTGAAAAAGCCAAGATTAGAACCAGGATGTCTCATTCCCAAGTCTGCCCTTGAGCACTTTGCTATATACAGTGGGCTGGAAGGTGCCTAGGTTCATGGTCCTTTGGGAATACAAATCTGCATTTCCACAAACTGGAAATAGGCTTCCTTCGATGCACAATTTGGGGTCAACTTGCAGCACTTAGTGTAAACACCATTCTACAAGGTACCATGGAGAGTACCTCTTCTAGGGCTAAGCAGCTTGTTATACCACAACCTCTCCTGCTGACTTCCACTCAGAGGCCTAGTAGAGGAACTCTACTGGGGCGCTGGCTGGATGAGAACAGTATCATGACAGTCAGGTCAGTTAAAGAGTTAAAAAATAAGGAGGCTTCTCATAGTTCCCCAAGATGAATCTCAGAGAATCTTAAATCTGTGCAATGGCTGCCTCATCTCTATGGCAGGGTCAGCCCCCTGCCGTCATGCTTCTCTGCATGCCTGTTCCTAATGGCTTCCTCTTTCATGTGTGGGTCTTCACCCATGTTCTCTCTGTCTGGAACCTTCTTTCTTTCCAGCCTTTATCTGACTAACTCCTCATTCTTCAGGTTTCACCTTAGACATCTATTACAAGAGCCCTCTGCTCCAGGCTGCTCAGTGCCCCCACAGGCCCCCGTAGTCCCCCATCATTGCACTACTCCCCAAATATGGTAACTTCTTTGCTTTTCTGTCTTTCAGACTACATATTAAAGCATAGGTTCCACAAGGTATCTCAGCCTTAACGTTATGCCTGGCACAAGTCAGTCCCCCATGAGTATCTGCTGAATGACGGCTAGGTGTTCTCCAGCACTAAGTGTGGACAGCCACTTGTATTCCTGTCCTTGATCAGAGAATTCCCTTCCACCCCTTTAGGCCTCTTATAACGAACAGGATGCCCAGCAGCAGGCTGGTTTCCAGCATTTAGGCCAAGAGCTGAGCATTATAAGTCTCATGAAGCCTGACCACTCACCTGACTGCAGATTCCCTCTTCCTGGTGGCATCTGTGATGTGCACAGGAAGGGTGTTGGCGGAGAGGGAAGCAAGGCCACTCAGAGAACGACTCCTTGGCAAGGGTGTAACAGGTGGCTCCACAGAGTCCTAAAAGAAACGAAGGGTGGTATTGGTCGGACAGCATGTGTGATTAATTTCTATCTTAACTAGGATTCCGTTTCAGTGAAGGACTAGTCAGAATATTCTTTTTTCTTCCTGGGATTAAGGCAAGGGTAATGAGATCTCCAGCTTAGTAATCAGGCCAAGACTTAGATATCAATTCTAAAGTTTTTAAATCTAATGAGAAGAGTTATTTGGAATTGGTATAGGGACACAAGCAATTGATCCCAACTCCCTGCCTTCCAGATCTGCTTGGACTTGTTTTTGCACAATCTCTTTCTAGAAAAATTCCCTCTAGGAAGGTAAGGAAAGGAAGTATTCTTGTGACCCTAAGTTTAGAGGAATTGTGGATCTGCTTACAGCTGAGCCAGTGTTTTAAAAAAAGACAGAAAAATGTCATGAGAAGTGCCTTCCATTAAGACCTGGCCTGTGCCTGTATTTTGGGCCTCAGGCCCTGCCCCTCCCATGGCTGCCTGAGCTCTCACCGTCCTCCCTCCAGAGGCGGCAGCATCACAGGGCCGCTGAGTGCGACGTAGGCTGGCATTTCTCAGAAAGAAGGGCTTGCTGTGAGTCACCTCTCTGGTGTCCCTTCTCTTGGCAGCTCTTCTTTGGAAGGCCTTGTAAAGGCCTTCATAGTCAGGGACAGCAGGATTCACACGAGGCTGGAATCCAAAGTCAGTCTGCAGAAACCCAAGCTTTTCCTCCTGGGTTCGGGTGGCTGTGCGAGGCCGTGGGTCAGCCTGGCTGCTGGAGGAGGCGATGGGGGAGGAGGCCTTCTGGAGCATGTCCAGGGCTCTCATCTGGATGCGAATTTTCCTGAAGAGCTCAGCTTCTGTGGAGAAAAGGCAGGGTGGTGATGGGTGAGAAGGGATCAAGCCTCATACCAAAAGGTTTGGAGAACTTTCCCTCTTTAAAACACCAGCAACAGGAATTTCGTGAGCAGTTGATATCGTGTGGGAAGCTTGAAATTGGCCAGGATAGGAATATTTATACCACGAAAAATGGCAAACTCTACAAATCAGCTTGCTTTTCCTTTTTTCTGCAGAGCTCGTTAATAAATGTTGACCACGACACCACTGCCGTGTGCCAATCAGGTTGCAGAAGCAGCTACCATTTACACTTACTGAGCATGTACTTTCCCCAGTTCCTTCTTCAGAAGCGAGGCAGGAGGGCTGGCCCAGTCACCTGCTCCTCTCCCAGGTCTCCCCATCTCAGAGGAAGGCCCCAACACCCACCAACTGCCCAAGCCCATGGCCCAAATCATTCTTGACTCCTCCCTCATCTCATCAGTCACAAGTTCTGTGGTCTCCTGCTCTTTAACCACATTCCAGTCCAGTCTCTTTTCACTGTCCCTGCTATGAGTTTCAAAATTTCTCAACTGAATTGTTGCAACTAGCCTCCTATAAATCAACATCCCTCCATTCTTGCCCTCCCCCTTTAATTATCTCCACAGCAGAGTGATCTTTCTGAACTGCATGTCTGATCATAAGCCACCCTATTTAAACCCTTCAGTGGCTCCCTGGTGCCCTTAGCATGAAGTCTAAACTCCCTCCCATGGCCCACAAGGCTCCTGTGGCTGGCTGGTGCCTGCCTCTGCCTCTCCACGCCCTCTTCTCTCTACCCTCGACCTTTCCATCCTTGAATGTGCTCAGCCTTCTCTTACCTCCATGCTGTATCTCTTCCTGGTACACTCCTCCTCCCTCTTCATTGAGGGAGGCCCATCCTTCAGGGTCAGCCCCAGTGCTCCCTTTCCCTGGGGACCTTCCCTAACTCTTCTTACTCCGTACCACACCCTAAGGCAGGTCCCTCTGTTATATGCCCCAAAGGACCCCCAGGCTTTCCCCTTTAATCTTGCAATAACTCATCACTTTTGTCATTATCTGTCTATTATCTGTCTTCCTCCCGTGTCCACGAACTCCATGTCGGTTTACTCACTGTAGAATAGTGCCTGGGGCGCAGCACATGTTACTGAATGACTGAATAAAGCCTGAGTCCCTTAATCAAGCTCCAGTTTTTGGAATATGTACCTCACCAGGATGAGGGAGTGAGGGGACTTTCCTCAGGGGCAGCTGGCTAGTGGTGGCACTGGCCTAAGCTGGTCCTTGGATGTCTCATTGGTTCTCTGCTCTCACACCTGTGCTGCTGCAGAGGCCTTCGCATCGACTCACTGAGAGAGGGGCCAACAGGACAAACCTAGGGGGCACTATAGGACCTCTGACTCCTCACTCCTTACAGGGCTCCCCCTTTGTATAAATAGACCCAACCCTACCCCATGGCCTGCACTGAGTGTGGCCTCTAGCAGGTCCACCGAAAGCTCATCTGCCAGCCAGGCTGACCCTAGAGCCAAACTAAATCCCTCCAGTACCTCTTGGTACCCCCAGGTACAAGGCAGCAAGGTGGCAGGAGTGTCTTTACCTTGGAGTTTGTCCCCGAGGGCTGGCTCCAGAATGGACTTGGGGATCCTTCTGGTGGCTTTCTGCTTGGGGACCTTGGCCTTAGCTGTGGCGGCCAACTCCCTCTGTTGAGTGGCTTCCTTTCGCTGTTCCTCCTTTACCAGGAAGCTAAAGGGCTTCAAGGAAGAGAGGAGCAGTTCCTTCCTCTTCTGGATCCCTGCCTGCCTGCGGACCTCATTGCGCTCCATGATCTCCTGGTAGAGCGGCAGGTAGACATGTGCAGGCACAGGTTGTGCCCGGAACTGCCGGTGGCACTCCGCCTCCTCCTGACCCTGCCTCTGGGCCTGCTGCCTCTCGTGCTCGAAGGAGGCAGGTGAGGCCAGCCACTGGGCCTTCTTCCGGGCTTCACGCAGCGTCATGTGGAAAGGCTGAGGGACAGTGATGGATGACACCCAGGAGCTGATGCTTTTGTGCTGGGAGGGAGACCTGGAGCCTGAGGGTGGCTGGGGCTGGCCCTTGGGAATGCTGGAGGGAAGGGTGCTCAGGGAGCTGCAGCGCCTTGTGGAGCCACACCTAGGGGGAGAAAGCAGCTCTGTTCATGGGGGACAGGGCAGCCAGGGGGCCCAGCTCCCCTTCCCTGCTCCTTCCCAGTCTTCCCTTCCAGCAGGTCACAGCCAGCTTCTCAGCCTAACATCACAGCCCCACAGGCCTCAAAGCCTGCACTTCTCAACTATCCTCTCTCTTTCCCACAGGCCATCCTAGCAGCCCTAGTAGGAAGTCTCTTCTCAGAATTGATCCAAGAATTGACGCTTTGCCCTCTAATATTTTCATTTGGTAGAGAGAAGAGAGGAGGGCTTTAGAGTCAGACCCAGATTCAAATCTTGCTTCAAACAATTACTTGCTGTGTGACCTTGAGCAAGGTTCTCTTGGAACTTCAGTTTAGTCATCTGTAGAATGGCAAAGATAGTATCTACTTGCAGAGTTATTGGGAGGAGAAAATAAATATTAAATGAGATAAAGTATACATGCACATAAGAGGGCCTGGCCGAGGTAAATGTGGCTCATTGCCATTCTCAGGGAGGTAGTGTGTCTGAGAGAGGCATCCCTTTAATCAACCCAGTGCTTCAGGTAACTAAGGGTTACCCAAAGTGATTTAGGACTGGTGGGTAGGAATCAGAACATGTTTGGATCCGAAGGCTAATTCTGAGCTGGACCCTGGCTAAGTGGCAACGTGCAGAAGTGGCCTTTGCTTTACTGAGGAAGAAGAGACCCAGAGCCATGACATGACTTGGCCAGGGTTGGGCAGTGAGGCAGCTGTGGAAATGCAGTGCCTTACCTTGCAGACTGGGGGCACTGGCCCTGTGGCTTCTCCCTGCCTTTGTCTCGGAAGAAACTCTCCAGGTCCTCATCATCTTCAGGGAGGTTCTCATCACTGTCTGGGTCGGACTGACATAGAGATTCCAACAGGCACCACCTGCCTTTCTGCCTTAGTACCTGCAGGGTCTCGTAAAAGCTCCCAGTAGAGTCAGAAGTAGAATCAGTCTCCTCCTCTGGGCTGAGGAACTCATCGAGTTTGCCAGCCCTGGGCAAAACCAGCCCATCCCCAGATAGCTCCTCTTCTGCCTCTGTGTCTGAGGAGGATTTGGGGGTAAATATCTAAAATGAAATAGAATAGACCGTTGGTCAAACTATAATTTTATTTTAAAAAAATTTTTCTTTTGAGGAAGATTAGCCCTGAGGTAACTACTGCCAATCCTCGTCTTTTTGCTGAGGAAGCCTGGCCCTGAGCTAACATCCGTGCCCATCTTCCTCTACTTTGTATGTGGGATGCCTACCACAGCATGGCTTGACAAGCAGTGCCATGTCCGCACCTGAGATCTGAACCGGTGAACCCTGGGGCTGCCAAGAAGCAGAACGTGCGAACTTAACCACCGGGCCAGCCCCATCATACTATAATTTTAAATTTACTCAAACATGACTATTAATTTCACTTTGAATAAGCCTCTGTATATTAGAGGCTGGGGAGGAACAAGAAAAGTGAGATGTTTTCCTTGCTTTGAAGAATTTTCACAAATTGACATGTGGGGTGTGCTTGGTTCCCTGCTTCACACAGCGCGGTGAGCATGCACGGTACCTGCTCTGCACCATGCATCCTGTCCCTGCGCTCCAGGAATTCTACCTGTGACCTTGGCCACACTCTGCTCTACCTGAGTTTTACCTACTTGTTGCCAAACTTTCTTTTCCTGCTTCCCCTGTCTACAGTTCTGCTTTCCTCATATTCTAGCAAATTTCCACTCTGTTACTAGGAATGGATAATTAACAGGAGAGACAGTGTGGTCTAGCTGAAAGAGCAATGTCCCAGAAAGTGGGAAATCCAACTGGGTTTAAATACTCCATTCATTCAGAAAATATTTACTGGATGCCTAATCTGCAGTGGGCATTCAGCTGAAAACAAGACAAACAAGGTCCCTACTCTCCTGAGGCTTACATTCTAGTGAAGGGAGACAGACAATGTAAGATGGTAATAAATTCAATGAAAGCCATCAAACTGTGAGATTACAGAGTGATGGAGTGGCTATGGGAAGCTTCCCTGTTGACAAAAGCCCATCAGATAAAGACCACTGGGAGGGGCTTTTTCTGGGGTTAGCTTGTCCTGAATGATCCTGAGGAGGGTTAGGGGAGGCAGGGATCAACACTGGATGGATGCTGTCACGAAGAGGGCACAGTGTAGTAAGTGGGTGATTAAGCAATTTTTATTCAAAAGGTGATGAGACTAAAGTGGGGCTGGGTAAGTAAGCATGATCATTAGAAGAAGGGGGCGTTAGTCATTTTGCAGGTACAGCATGGCCCTTTGAGAAACACTGTTTTCTGCTGATCTTGCTGCTGGCCTTATCTGTGTCTGTTACAGTCTGAGTTGGGCTTTCTCAGTCCCAGGCTGATTTTTACTTTCTCACTGTGGAGGAGTTTTGGATTGACACTTGAGAAGGAGCCAGCTTTGCTAAGATCTGGAGTAAGAGGGTTCTGGGTTCAAGGAACAGCAAATGTAAAGGCCTTGAGGCAGGGACCTGAGGCAGGAGCAGATCTGACTCCTGGAGGTACAAAGAGGACCAGTGTGGCTGGAGGACAGTAGCATGAGGCGAGCGTGGGGCTGGGATGACTGGCTGCAGCTGGAAACCCCTTGGGAGCAGGCCTCCCGGTGACACTTGGTGATAGTTTTACAGGGTTCTCTGAGGTCCAGCTCTAACACAGAAAAGAACACTGACTTCTGAGTCAGGTATGTAAGTGCTCTAGTCCTTACTCTGCTCCTGAGGAGAGTGAGATCTTAGGAACATTTCTTTTGTAAAATGCCTTTCTTGAGATATAATTCACATACCATACAATTCACTTATTTAAAGTGTATAATTCAGTGGATTTTAGTATATTCAGAGTTGTGCAACCATCACCACAATCAATGTTAGAACATTTAAATCACCCCCAAAAGAAACCTCACACTATTTAGCAGTCGCTCCCTATTTTCCCTACTCCTCCCAGTCCTAACCCTTCTCCCACTAGTCAGCCCTAAGCAACCACCAATTTACTTTCTGTCTCTACGGATATAGGGGCAAATTTCTTAACCTCCCTGTGCCTCAGTTTTCTTTCCTGCAAAATGGAGACAACAAAAGTACTGTTAGTCCTAGGGTAGTTGAGAGGATAAGCGAAAACGGAGGGTCGTTGCTACGGTTCTATGAAGAGGCTGACATAAAGCTCAAGCGGTTCCGGTCACCAGTCAGAGACCGCCTCCCGGTCCCCAAACGCTGCCAATTTTAACCCCACGCCCCTCCGTGACACACCCCTGCCGCCTGTCTCCAAGGCAACGGCGAACAGTTTCCTCTCTTACGGATTCCTTTCCGGGGCGCAGACCCCATTGCTCCCCTTCTCTTTCTCTCCTCACCTGACGGCTCCACTGAGCGCCGCCGGAGGCCCCGGCAGGCCTCCCCACGGTCATCTCCTCGGCGCCGCAGAGACAGAAGCAGCGGCGACAGCAGCTAACACCCCAGCGGCCGCTGCGGGGCTAGCTATGCGAGCCAGGTCCCGCCCCTTTTTAGCTTTTCTTCTGATTGGCTCTCTGGCGGATGTATGACTCCCCCCCCTTCATGCAGCCTCCAATCCTTCCCGCCCAAGGAGGCAAGAATCGTTTTCTGATTGGCCTATTCTCTTCGCACGTTCTAGTTCCGGTTCTGAGGTGGCGGCTGAAGCTGCAAGTGATTGGAGGGCTCTGCTCCGGAAGTGCTAGCTCCGGCGGGCCTAGCGGGGCGCCGAGCGCGGTGCAGTTGGGCACCATGGCGGCCCGGCTGGCTGTTAGCCGGTGGGTCGCTGCACGTGCAGCTGCCCGGAGAGGCCCGCTGGTCTCC